CATGAAGATGTTTTACACTTCTGTGCAAACAAGGACTGTCTGTTTTGAATATTTTCGGGCATCGAAACGTGCATAAGTATTCCTGGTACAGAAAAGTTTCTTTACAGAAGTCGTTGATCGATTTGATTGATAATTGTATTGTCTTACGACGCCCTGTGATGGATGTTCGCGTTCAGATAAGCGTAGTGTTGGTAACCGATCATCACGTAATGTTGGCACCCTCTGTTGTAAACAATGGAATATACCATACGAAGAACTGAACGCAGAAGCAACCAGAAAATCAGATGGGAAATATTTTCTTCTGCGGATACGAAAGCGAAACTTGCTAACAACGTCGCAAGGCGGTGTGAGCAGACGTCCATGACAATGAGGGCATGAAATCCTGATGCAAACTCTTACTCCGGGCAGGAAGCGAATGCTGTGATTTACAACGCGATGGACTGTCGCCTCATCGTCAGAAACGAACATTCTTGTTAACGCCAACGGTTCAACGAGTCAGCGAGATGTCAGTATTCAAGAGATGACTTAGAAATAAAATCTTCCAACTCTAACGCCGTACCGAAAAGCGCTAAGGCGACAGTGGCTAAAGCGAGAATTGATTATTGTGAGTCCTTCTGTGAGGTACTGGAGTCGAATTTCTAGACCGCAAACAAAGTATTCTGACAGACTATCTGTTGTCTCCAAGATGGACAGAAGCGGCGGTCTAAGAGTCCTGCAGGACAAGTCCAGATGCCTTCGTATCAAAAGAGAGGATGAGCTATACCTCGGTGATAGAGAGAGAGTACATTGAAGGACTTTTTGACTCTGAATAAGCGCATGGAGACTCGCCTGAACAGTATCAGGGAACAGATATTCATTTTTCAGTAGATGAAATCGCAGAGCTGTAAAAAGGTCGAGAACTGGCAAGGCTGTTGCAGTCCATGAAATTTGTTATAAGATGCTTGAAATTTTAGGTGAAGAAGGGGCACATTATGGCCAGCAGGCATCTGTCAAACAGCAGTGACTACAAGGAAGACACCAGTTGACTGTAAAACGGGAGTTATAGTATTTCTTTTCTGGACGGGAGATAATATGGAGTGTTTCAATTATCAGGGCAATACCTCACTGAGTTTCTTACGAAAAGCCTGTAAAAGCATGTTGG